GCACGGCGGCTCTTTGAAGACGGTAGGTGTTCTCTGCATGGTGGGAACAACAGAAAAGGCTGCTGGGGCTCGTAAAGTGGAATTGCTGCTCGGGTAGGCTCTGCTCTGATTGGTGTTTCACACAGCTGCTGCTACTAGGATCACGTGTAGATTCAGAGGTATAAACCAGCAAGGCACACGTGGGCGTTTCTGTATCAGCTGCATTTGCAAAGTAAGTATTAACTACAATGCTTGGTGTTGTACGGTTTTGTATGGAACTCAGGTGAGGCTAAAACCTGGGATGAGAGGAAAAGGCTGCTGTCCTCCAGCAGACTTGGGTGAAAATGGGGAATACAACCGTTGTGGCAGTGCCTTGGGAGGTGAGGTAGCACAGGGACTGTACAGGAGCCCTGTTCCTGAGGGGACCAGAGCATCCTCCTGAAATGAGCTGTGAGGGCTGCCACCTGGCTGCCCTAGTCACACCAATTTGTTAGTTCTCTTCATACCATTCAACTTTAAGCTTTGCTACATGGTGTGATTGTTCAGGTTGACTTTGGTTTTGTCTTTCAGCACTTCAGGTTGCAGGACCTTACTTAGAATAAAGAGTTGAAATTTCCAAAAGGAATTAGGTGCCTCACTCCTCTAGGCCATGCTATAAATGCCAGTTGAGAAATGAATTAATGATATACTGCAAGAATCATATCTTCACATGGAAAAGGTGCACAGTAAATGATTTTTGCTTTGGGAAGTATTTACCTCATGCTGCTAGGAGCATATAGACAGCATATTATCTCCATTTGTTTTAATGCCTATTTGTCTTAATTATTAATGTGAATTTGAACTGCCTTCTTCATTGCATTTAAAAGCAAATCACCCCAAGTTCAGAAGTTCACTGCACATGCCCCAAACTCTTTTTTTCTTAAGAGCTTAAACAAAACTTCAGTGATCTTAGTCATGTTCTGCTTGACCAAATACTGACCTTCCTCTGCAGTAGAAAGACATTTAAGCCTGTTTTCTGAAATTAAATCAAATTCTTGTAATCCAATGAGATTTACAACTGCTCAAGTCTAGTCAGATTCATATATATTTCAAGTTAGACAGGTTCATATGGTGTTTGTTTTTCTTGAGCTAAGGCTGTATATAATAGCATTTGGGATTAAATTGAAAATAAATGTGTTTCACAAATGTCATCAGAGTAGGTGTGTAAAAATATTCCCATTATTTCTCAAAACGATATCTACATATTATTTAATGCTCATTGCCAAAGGTTTCTCTGTATTCTGCTGTACACCACATTTTCTGAAAGTATGTATGCTGTCATGACTAGTAACTATTCCTCAGTGATTAGTGTGACAGTAAGTGAAGCGTGAATATTGAGACTTGCCATATCATGCATGCCAAGTTCCTATATGGCCCAACTGCTGTGAGACAAAACATGCTATTATGTTTTAGACACAAAGCCATATTGTATGAAATTCCATCCTGTCTCGTACTGAAAGAGGTGTATTTAAAAATGAAATCTTTTTCTTCTTCAGTTCTTTTTGTTAACTTCTGTATTAGGTATTTAACTACTGAGCCCCATCAGAAAATTTACCCTTAGTCTCTATTGAGGAATCAGGTTGTGAACTTAAATCAGACAAATTGCTAATGTTTTAAGGAGGATATTTTAAAGCAAATATTGGTGAAAAGGAAGAAAAAGGAGACAAACAAAGCAATTGTTCCAATGTTCTGACCACTAAGCTTATGCACTAAACAGGGTTTTCCAAACAATTCTGATGTAGCAGATGTAATTTTAATACATGATCATACAGTACATTTTTCATAAGTAAAGAATAGCTTGTCTTTTAACAAAGCAGCAAAATTAGTCATGCATTCCACTAAGGCATTGGTTTTTAATACTGACAACCTTAGGAGCCCACATGATGCATGTGCTTTTTGCAGTGCCCACTGATTTCCAGAAGTGACCTTTGCAGAAGACATGAATTTTGGAGAAGAATTTTTTCATTGCTGTGCCAAGCTCCATAAAGACATAAAAACTAGAATTTTAATGTAGAACTTTAAAGATACAGCTGAGCTAGGGGAAAGTGGTGATTTGATCCAGGAGTTACTCGGATGATCTTTGGCCTGTATTACACAAGAGATGACACTTGATCCTTATGGTCCCTTCTGAGTTTGAAATCTATAAATGCTTGGAAACATAATGCTAATAATGTAGCAACTGGAATCTTCAAAGCACTGACAAACAACTAACACCAACCCCACGCCCCCAGCACTACTTGGAATGTGATCAGGAAAGATAGATCTAATAATTATAGCAGATTGAACTGTTTTTGCAGACTGTGCTATGGATTTAGTCTTCTTTCTATTTATTAATTATAAAACTAGTTCTAATTATGACTGATATATAATTATTTAATTAATTGATGTGATTATTTTGCAGTCCTAGATATTTTTGTTATACTTATATTCTATTAATGTATAATCTGCTGATTATTTGATGTTTATCTTTGGTTTCTCAACTGATTTCAGTAAATACATATCTTTTTTTTGTCTAAACTGGGAAGGTGACTGGTTTTCTAAACTGTTCTATTCAAAACCCTTTCAATTTATATTAGTTTTTCTGAATATCTTGCAAAAATATGCCAGGTACACTGATGACCATTAATGCAGTCAAAATATCAGCATCACTCTGTTCGAGGAACTACAGATGGCATCCAAAATTTTCACCTGCATGTCAGAATTTGTTGATGTTTGAATGTTATTTTCTTTGGCTTTGCTTTTCCTTACCTAATTAGTATCTCCACGATATGTATGGATCAGCTAAGGAATGGTGTAATTTGTATATTGGAGGGTAATATTTCACTACTTAAGTGACTGCACTTTTCTGAATTAACAGTAGTTCCCATTCAAGACAGAGCGGGTTTACTATAGTTCCAAAAATCTTGCAGCTACCTCTGTGGGGGAAAATGACATTGGTGAAATGGTTTGACAGAATCTCTGAACAATTTGTTGATGCAGGGGGCATTAGGACTCAGGCATCACAGACTTAATATAATCACCATTCCATAGAAAGTTTGGATGTGTAGAAGAATAAATGCCAATTCTTCTTGAATATTTGCTCTTCCTTTTCCTTTTCTTTGTTAATAATAACCTTTTGTGTTGGTATTTTGCTGTGTTCTGTAATTAAATTATCTGTAATTGTTACAACAGTTTACTGAACATTTTCAACAGTCTGATATTTTAAATAGTCTAGAATTATTCTAATTTATGGTGTAATTTATAAACAATGAGTCTTTCATTCAAGGTGTTTTTCTTTTGTCATAAACTGAGAATGAAAACAGAAAAAAAATTACCCATCAGGAAAACTGGAGTTCAGCCTCTGTTTAACCTGAAATAGCCATTTTGAAATCTAATAAGATTAGATTTCAATAAGATTATGAGTGATGAGATACAATGCCTTAAAGTAGTCAGCACTCCTAAGCAATTCATCCCTGGGTACTTTCTGGACATATATCCTGCCAGTTCTCAGGAAGAGATCAGATAGGCATCTTTCCATCTAGCATACAGTTGCTAGAAATTAAAAAGACAGCCAGTGGCATACTTTCTGAATGATTGCAGATATCAGCATATCATGCATATGCAAGTACATAATTTAGGATAGATGCTTTTGACTTTTTTTTTAAACTTAAAATTAATATCTAAAATTAGGGGTTTTTTCACACTGACAATGGTATGGACATGAAGAAAAGTTGTGTCTATGACATTTGTAACTTAAATTTCTCACAGTAGTAACCTTTTTTATTTATTTAGTGTTTTCAGATTTGTCTGTTCTTTGTTGAAGAGGCAGTTTTCAGCTATGGCTCTACTGCTTCATATCAATCATGCCATGTCAGCCCAATAAAAGAGTAATGCTGTTTAATCCATCTTCTTGAATTTTTTTCTGGAAAGTCATCTTGAGCTGAAAAAAACAAATATTTGCAAGAAACATCCTGTAGGATTATTGATTTTAGAGGCTAACATAAACTTTTTCAAATGCTGAGTTATTTTGGACTGCAGTCTACTATCTACTGGTTTTGGGAAACCAGTGCATTGAAAAAACCTTTTGTAGAATTTGGCGTTTACCCAGTGAGACATCTTTACTGAGCAAAGGTATGGTTGAATTTATGAAGTTTCTTAGTAATAATAACAACATGATGTCAACAAGATTCAGCATGTATTTTTTTGGCTGCATATTACAGAAAGCTTGGTGGCTTTGGAAATTTAGGAAGCAGCTGTAGCTTACTAGACCCAGGCCACAACTTGCTGATTACCATTTTACTGTCTCCAGGTCTACTACTTTTTATATTATATTTTCTAATAATATTCCCAAGGATTTAACTTCCAGTGAAACAGTAAGTTTTCTCAGTTTCCATAGGAAGCTTAGAAAAGAAAACTCACTTAAATTTAATGGTTGCATTGCATTAACACTTAATGAGGAGTCAATTCCCTGCCATGTGAATACATGAACAAGTAAGGAGTCAGTACTTCCTGAAAGACAAATGTCTTTGTGAAACATGATGAACGCGTTGCGTGTTAAGTATCACTGGAATTTAAAATTTGATACTTCTCAAAGTTGTGAAGTTAATGTTGCTGTTATTGTAAGCTTGGATTTAATGCGTTCAGATGGTAATAAGCATTTGTTTCGAGCACTGTAAATTTTCAGTTTTTCAGTATGCTCAATAAAATGTAAATGGATGAGTCAAAACAGTTGCTTTCAAGATGCTGTTGCTCATGATGTTTTAGCATACTAGGCAGGGCATATGTGATATGGTGTATTATATGCTCTGTTGTTGTAAAATCTGTATGAATTTTGAGCTGTCAATACAGAAATAATTGATCAACTCCCTAACCTAAGGAACACTTTTCCTGGTAGCACTTCTGGCTATTAAGACTTGGTGTTTTAACTGTACTGACTGGAGATGGAATTAGTAAACAGAATAATGATACTGTTTTGCAGAAAAACCTTCTTGTTTGTGTTTCAGGCTGAGCTGTGTGAACCATGCAGAAGATCTCGCCTCCAAACTACTCCAGTGTTTCCCAAAGAACAGATTGTCAGCGCAGGCAGCTCTGAGCCATGAGTACTTCAGTGATCTGCCCCCACGGCTATGGGAGTTAACTGATAGTGAGTATAACCACCTCCAAATGGATTAGAAACAGAGATTCTAGTTCAGACACATGCATGTGTGTATGCTAACCACCACATACAGACAGCCTCATGGACACACACAGCCACACACAAAATACGTGACTGCAATTGTGTAGATTGAAATTACATAGTTAGCTTGACACAGGAAAAAATGGATTCTTTTTTTCTTTTTTTATCTTTTTTTTTTTTTTTTGCTATCTCTGCTCTGCAGTCTGCAGCCTATCTTTGTATTTGATTATGTGTGGAGCCAGTAGAATTCTCTGAATTGTCATAAAGCAAAAGGAAAAATGCAATTTACATATTTAGTGCTTTTCACTTATAACATACAGTACTTCTTAACTAGCTGCAGCACACAGGATAAAAATCCAGCTGTGTTTGATTCGCAGAATCTCTGTGTTATAACAGTAACCTTTAACAAAGGACTCAGCATTTAGAAGTCTGGGTTACCCAAAGTAGGCAATCAGTTAATTTGCTGAATTAGACTGTGTATGAAGAGAATGGCAGATGATACTCTTAACTAAGAATGCTTTCACTATTTTCATACATCCTTTTGCATCCTTTATTAAACAGAATGCATTCCAGTTGACTTGGTAGAAATGTTCCTATCATTGTGTATGCTGTCAATTATCTTTTTAGTAATTTTAAATCATTTATATTGTGTGTCTGCGTATGGTTTTTCAGTGTTAAAAGCACACAGCTATTTATTCTGGGGAAAAATGTAATGAATGATATTTTTTATTCAGAGAAGGTCCTGTTATTATAAAAAGGTTTCACAAGGGAATAACAGTCAGCATTTTGCTTTAACTCAATATGGTGAAGAGACACATGCTTGCATTACAGCATTGTATGTTCTTTTCTGTTTTCAAACATGCATCCATTAGCAAAAGATCTATATCCAGTACCTCAAGGCAGAAAGTTCATAGGTGTAACAATGGAACATGTGTCTGTAACTATGGCTGACTTAAAAGTTTGCTTCGAAAAACTAAGCTCTCTTTTTGAATATTTATCCACAATAGAATCTGTTTACACTAGTGTCAGTACAAAACCTTTTTATCTTTTCCATCATCAACAGCTGTAGTACTCACATTTTGAGCTGGTTCTGTACCTTGGCTGTCCAAGTACCCTACTCCCAGCTCTGCTTTGAATAGCACTCTCCCATTTGTAGAATATGAAAATTAAAACCAAAATATCACCAATAATTTCTGTCCATCACTATCACAGACTGTGTTCTGGCTCTGCAGAAAGATTCCCAGTTTCCTCCTCTGCCATGGTGACCCACCACTCAGTTTGCTGACTGTGGTACTTGATAAACAGAAAATTTAAATGTTCAATGTAAGTTAAGGCAGCTGCTGTTCAAAGTCTGACTTTGCAGAAACTGATGCAGATTCTTTTCTTCAGGACTAATGAAACACCAAGAATGCCAGTTCATTTATCCAATTTCCACCAAATGAAAAACAAAAATCACTATGCAGTGGTGACATCTCAATCCTTATGACTGTGTGATTTAGTCTAGCCAGGATTTTGAATTCTGAATTCTGCAGTAGCACTTTTCTGTTAATATGGACTTATTACTCACTTGCCACTTAGTTTATCAGTCAGTGGTTAAATCCAGCTCTATCAGTGAAGTAAATGCCTACACATTATCACTCTGCAGCAGGCTGCCAACAGAGACAGTCTTGTCGTAGTCATTAACAAGCACAATGTATGCAGAACACCAGAGGGGAATTAAAACCACAAAAAATACCTCAGGGTGGTATTTTTAATATGAGAATTTAATTTGTAATTTCACAGATTAAGAATTTTGGCTGCATTAATCCTTTTATCAGCTCACAGCAGGTTATTTGCAGAAGCATAACCATAAGGCGATATTCATTGGCAGAAACACGTCTTTGCATAACGTTAAACATCAGGAGCAGTGAAACCTTTTGAAGGGGGGAGAATAAAGATGAAAAATCATTATATTTTAAAGCAAGGTTCTTCTAAATGCCTCCAGTAAAATTTTGAGTTACAGAAAGACTATTTCTGTGTCTAGTAGATAATCATTATGAAGCATAAATCCATATGCAAGAAAGGACAATCCCAGTATCAAATACTACAATCATTTCTATTTAGTATGACTTGGATATAGTTGTAAACATATTTACAAAACAAAGAAATCATATACTTTGGAGAGTTGGGATAATGTTTACTGTGTAGTGAAATTACCAGTTTTTGTGATTATATTTCTCTGTTTTACATCAAGAAATACTATTGATAGTTAATTAAATATAATTATAAATATATTGAGTCTTTATGTAGAAACAAAATGACTGCTTTCTAATTTGGACAACACCAGTGATTTTGCAAATCTCTGTAGTGAGAAGTATTCATCATGGAATATATTTTGTCCAATTTGGTTCTAATGCTGAATTGTAAATTTGGGAATTTAGCACTTAAAATGAAGGAAAGACTCATATATGGGTAGAAAAGCAAATGGGATGAATCAGTAAAATTATTTTCCATCAGAAAATTGCTTCTTTGGAATCACAATATTTCAGAAAAGTATGGTGACTCTACCTACACTGAAAAAGTAAAAATGAAGTGTTTGACTTCCTATTCTGGTTTTGACCATTAGTGCTACGTATTTGTATTCTGTATAATACTTTACAGTACATTTTTTTAATGGGGTTTATTTTAAAAACACATGTGAAGTTAGTTTATGTGAGAAGCGTAATTTTGCTTTTTTTCTTAGTTTCGTTTCAAGTCAAGGCATAATTTCAGTTGGGTTGGAAGTTCATTTTCCAGATAAGCTCTGTCTAAAAGGTAGCCACTTTCAGTTTTTGAAAATAGTGCATTAAAAAGGTAAGAGTAATCCAGTTCTGCTAAAAACACCTTGTCTAGGAATAAAATTCAATTTATGATGCAGCTTTCATTAATCTTGAAAATTGAGCAGTAATCCATAGAGTAATCCTTTTTACTAAATATGTGTACTGGTTATTTTCTATTAAAAAATAATCATTCCTCCCACTTTTCTACTTTTTTATTTGAGAGGATGTGTTCATTTATTTGCATAAAATATCTGCCATGAACAATGTGTGTTACCAAGGATAGCAGAATGAGAAATACAAGTTGAGATGTCAAACTACAGTGGGAAGATCTGGGCCTAAAGCAATAACCAGGTCTCTCTTGAAGACATATAAATGAAAAAAGTAGTTCCAGAAACTTACATGTATACCAACTGTAGGTGCAAAAAGGAAAACTCTTATGGCCCTGATTAGTTCTTTATCATTTCCTTATGGAATCATGCAGTGGCAGCTCTCATGAGGATATTGTTGTATGGAGGTTTGTTTTCAGGAGATATTAAAAGTCATTGATTTTTCCCCATCAGATTGAGGCATCCTAAGTAAAAATTAGTTTCCATATTATGAATATGTTAGCTCTTACCCATTTGCATTTTGACTGCTGTGATTATTATAATCATGTCTCCTAATAACTAGTTGCCTGGTGTGACATGGAAGTCATCAAGGTTTTTCTAGCACATGCAAAAGGAGATTGCTTCACATAAAAGATTTTTGAGTTGTTGGGATATTTTTAACAAGCCTAGTTGTCTTCAGTAATTCAAAAAAGAAAGTCAAGATAGTTCAGTTCTACTGATGTCAAGATTCTGAAGATGTAATATGTTTTATCAAATTATTGAAAAACCTTGCTGCAGGTTTTCCCTTCCCATTTCTAAGTTTTCTCAGCAGAAATTTGAAAGTGGAAGTTATTCATTGTATGGTGGTGTAGAGGACAAATAAACACACTATCTGGAAACAGGCTTTTTTGAAGATGCATGCAGCTAAGAATGTTTGCACCATACAATTTCCATCATAATGCTTTCAGCTTCTTTCCATTCGGATTTTGTGCAGTGCTTAAATAAGTGGTATATGTATTTAATGTGTTATGTTTGCCCTATATATTAATTATTTTTAAATTACTGCTTTTACTGCAAAAAAGAAATCAAAGTTTCTGAACTGACACTCTTTTTTACAGTGTCTTCTATTTTTACTGTGCCGAATGTAAGATTACAGCCAGAGACTGGAGAAAGCATGAGAGCCTTTGGAAAAAACAATAGTTATGGGAAAGGTGTATCAAACAGCAAACATTGAAGAATACCTATGTTCACAACTGATAATGCAGGTAAGACATGATTTTTGGAAAGGATATATTTGAAAATGCTCTTTAGTTATCTTTAGAGAAACAAAATACAAAACTCAACTGCATGTCCATATGCAGGCTGATACTCTGTTTTTGCAGTTTTACAGTCCCTATGAAGAGTGTAAGTACTCAGGAATGAGTAATGTTTCACTGACAGGTTGAAAACATGGCAGAAGTTGGTGCTAGTATATTAAATAATAGTTCGCCTTTAATTTGGACTGAAAACTTTTTCCGCCCCCGGTAAAATAGGAAGAGAGGAAATACCTCTAGTTAGTTCTGTTGCTAAATTTTGGGGCAAGGAGGAGAAATTCTATGATTTAAGGTCCCTCACAGCCCTAACCATTCTATGACTCCGTTATTTAGTAGGTTGGTAGTCTTGGTAGCAGAAGACAAAGAGGTGATGTCATGTTAGTGATTATGATCTGTATCACTGAATCAACTAATATTAGTTTTGTTCAACCATTGTTATTCAGCGGTGAAATAGTGTGTAATATGACTTCTGGTATTTTAAGAGCAGAGCAGAACTTGAGAAGGCCAGGTGAATAGAGGGGCTACTTGCCAAATTACAGCAAGGGCATGGTGGAGGTATATCATGACATTAATTGTCTTCTGCCCGTATGCACTAGCCCAGTGTTTGTTCAGTGGGATTTAACACTTGGCAGACTCTTCCAGGTCAGAAGTATTTCCTTATATAGCTGCTTTGCTTACTATGCTTCTCTAAAGTGTTTCACAAAATACTTTAAGAGTAGATTCTTTTCATTCAAAAAAATCGAGGCTTGCCTTGTTTGTTTTTAAAGACACTGTTGCTTTTGCATGTTGAGTCTATTTTAACAGTTTATTACAGAAGGTCTAGGAGCTGAGATAAATGCACAAGCTGCTCATGTACCTATTTGAAGATATGGTCTCCTATAAATGTAGTTGATATTCACATGATGTCTACATTTAGCTAAGTCTGCTTTTTGCAGTATCAGATACAACGTGATCTAATGAATTACACTTGGGTTTAATGTTGTATGCTTATGTAAAACTGGGTTTTTTAACCCTGTAGTGTTGTAGAGTCTTTGCCTGACAGGCAGTAACTACTGAAAAACTGGAATGAATAGATTTCGGTGCTAACAGCCTGCCCCAGTTTTTGCACAAGCTCTTCGCCAACAAACCATTTAAGATTCTCTAATGTCAGAAATGAGGCTGCCTCAGAGCAGTCTGTTTACATCCTTATTGACAAGCTAATCCCTACTTTTTCCTCGGGCTGTGTCCCTGCAGACATCTCTTCAACCTTGTCTGTTCTAATGTGACATATCACCCATCTAAGTATATTTAGAATGTGCCCATCTGTGCTAAAGACCTTTTGTGTAGAAGCTTATGTACAGAATCTCAGTTCTCATGTACAGAATCTCCTTTCTGTTGCTTCCAAATAAATGCAATTTTTCATTTATAAAATATGCAATAGAAGGTTTTTGCAAATGAGCATGTAAAATAGTACAAAAGAACCGTTGGATCATTCTTACTGAATATCTATTTGAGCAGGTACAAATTACTGTTTTAAACTTTTATATGTGAACAGAAAGATAAAACCAAATGTACCGTTTATATACATCACTGTAGTGTTATGGCTGCTCAGCCACAGTTTTAATACAGAATAGCATGGTTCATTGTGAAAGGTCTGAAACCACTTAGCAAATGTTGTGAAGTGCACATTACTGATTACATTTTTCCACTGTGGCTTGGGACTTTGTTCTGTTAGGTGCTTACACTGCAATAACATATCAGCTCCCTGCTGAAGTATTTGACTTGTGCCATGCAATGGGGACCAGCAGGTAATGCTGGAAAAGTATTAGGACCAAACAGGTCCTCATACCATGTGGAGAGCTGGGGATTAATGAGATGAAACTAAAATTCATAGGGAAGCAGGAGAACTGACATGGCAATGGATTTGGGTGAGGAATTATTAGAATGGGTGGAAACATTTAAAGGGATGAGACTACCAAGCAAGTAGAGGTGTGAGTCATTGTGGAAAATGAAAGGAGTTGGGAAAAGAGACTGCAGTTTTGGTAATGGGAAATGAAGATCTGGTGAATGGCAGGTGGCTGTGATTTTGAGCAGAAGAGAAGTGACTGGCAAGTAGGATTTTCAGTCAGTAAAATGGATAAGTTATGAGTCAGTCGCTCTAGCAGAAGACTAGAGCTGCAGTCAGCAGGAGCGTAGCATTAGGGAAGGGGTATTTATTACAATATATTCTCCCAAAGTCTCCATTCACAAGACTCTGTGAAGCAAAAAGATGCATGAATAGCAAAAGGAAAGATAGCAGTAGCTCTCCAAGGCCATGAAGTTAATAGATAAACAAGGCAATTAGAGTTAGAAATATGGAGGATGTTAAAATCCAGTACAAGATCTTAAAATGTCAACAAGTCTGATCACATAACATCCCAAATAATGGGATAAAGAAAAATTAGAAGGGACAAAAATTGCAAGGAAATAGATCTGATTATTTTAGAAAACCCAACAACCATAGCAAACAAATATTTATAGCTTGTCTCCTGGACAAGGTAGGCACAAATGTGTTTCACTCAACTTCGTGGGTTGACTTTATGCATATATAGAGGTAGGAGGGAAGTTAGGAAGGACTGGAATTTTGAGGTATTCCAGTATCCTTCAGGAAGCTGTGAAAGAGAAAAATCTGTAGATAGTTGCTCACTAAATCCTCTAACATGTGTATAAAGGAAAAGTTTTATTTTTAATATATTTTTATGTATTTATACATTGTAAAGGAATTTATTAGAGAAACCCACAAAGAAACATGAACAAGGAACCATCTTCAATCACATCCAAAACCTGGTGCTGAAGAAAATTCTAATCTTACGTCCTTCCTTCCTTCCTTCTTGCCTTACTGCCTTACTGCCTTCCTTCCTGCCTGCCTCCCTCTCTCCTTCCCTCCCTCCATTTCCCTGTTTTGGGGGTAATATAGGAAGTAAATTTGAGAGACCAGATAAAGCTGTTGTGCCAAATCTTTCTGTGATAAGAAGTTATCACCTCTTGCTGTTCTCTCACACACTTGCCAGATGTTACTGCCCTGATAGTGCACCCACTGAATTAAATCCACTTTTCTTTAGGGTTTGGAAGGCAAAAAGATTAGGGGAGGAATGGCTGAGACATCATCTGCTAACTTTGGGAGCAGCAGTCTCTGGCAGATTGGTGAAGGAGAGGGACTGAAGGCAGTACATTTGTAATTGGCTCCATTATTGATTAGAGCTTGTCTGAAGCCCTCAGAAACTGGAGCATCTCTGAGAATTTCTGCTGTCTTTAAAACACCATAGTGCTTCAGCTGCCTGTCTACAACTCACAAATCAACTTACTACTTGAAAAAGCAGTAGCCTAGGACATGTTTCTGAAAACTTAGATAACATCTGTCAGACTTGGGCTACTAATGGGGTCTTTGTAGTGCCATTGTCTTGGGCTCCAAGAAGAGACAACACATTTATTCCATTGCCCATGGGGAAAAAACTGACATTCAGAGTTAGCAAGGTCAATGCTGAGGCTGCTCTCTACTGGAGAAAATTAGCAAATATGTGGTAATGAGCATCACCACACACAGAAAAATCTGTCAGCACTGAATTAGATGGGGCCTTTCGACCATATCTATGGAACTTTAAAGTCTTGTGATAAAGCAAAATATTTTTATTTTGTGCCTGATGGTTTCCATTGATATTTTTTTCCCCATGGGGAGGAAGCATCTCTGTGGAAGCATTCCTCATCTGTACATGTCTTGTTGAGTTATACTGTAGATCCAACTTTACAGGTCTGTTTTATTGAGACAAGAAGGGACCCAAAGAAACTCTAGAGCTCTGTTTTCATTTGGCTAGTGGAATACATGGCTAAAGCTTGCTCCTCTCTGGAAAGGATGAGTCAAATAGTAATTGAAAAGACAAGGCATTACCTGATATGAGATAGCACGTGATGTTTTCTTGTGGTGATTTATAATCCCCAGTTCCCATTGGTGGGCCAGAGACACGAGATGTGTTTCTGGCCTATTGTCTGGTTCCTGGAGCCAGCAGGGACAGCTTCATTCAGGATGGTAACACCATATGCTTTTAAAGTATTTAACCTGTATTACCATAATGAGATCCCCTGGCTTTCTAAATCTCTTTGACAATTCACTGAAGCAAAACAAAAAGTGGCCTTTATTTGTATTGCTTCACCACATGCACATGCATCCGAGCAATCCTGAATGTCAATCGCAGGGTGCTGAATTCTTTCTTGTGTGTCCATTGAAGCCAGCAACTGACACCAGCCCAGCCAATCGAAGGGAGGATGGCGTCATTGGGCCAGCTCAGCTGTGTAAAACAGAATAAAGCTGCAGAGGTGACAGTTACCACTGTAATGGCAAAAAGTGTTGGTTATTTGGTTGCTTATGACTGGGTGTGTTCAGCAGCACAGAATCATTATGGAAAATTACCTTTTTCTCTTTGCTAGCTAGAGAGGTGACTGTTGTTGCATCCCCATCCAAATAGTTTCATTTTTGTTTGTCATCTTCAGTTTTACATTTGTAAATTGTTCAAGAGTGTCTCTTCAGCCCTGCTGTGTGGGAACATAATTTTTGCCTGCCTTGCCCTAGTCAAGCCGCAGGGAAGCTGTGGTCCAGCAGTGTGTGTGTCCAGTAGTCAGTATTGAAAAGTCATTTTTATTCACTACTCCCCTGCATTTACTCTGTTCTGGGTACCCCAGTGTTGCTAAAACACGGTAGAAAACCATATACTGTGCATCTAAGTCTTCATCTCTTCAGCTTCAGGGGATAAAACTGTAGTAATTACAGTGGAGAAAGGTCTGCATAAAAGAGAAATTCTAGACTGAGATACTGCACATCAGCCAGATTTTGTCACTGTTGATTTAATCAAAAGCTCAAAGTAGCCAGTAGTGCTTTATATGTGTGAAATCTCAAAATTCAGTGTAAAACCAGATTGGGAGAGAAAAGCAGAGCTATAAAA